GTTGGAAACCTTATGGGGCCGTTCTACTCATAGGGTCAATATGAGCCAGAACAGTCGATGGCACACAACAACGACAACAACAAAAGTTTGTCTGTCTTGTGGGAAGTGCTCTCTGAAACGTTGCTTTTGCACATCAGTAGCTAGAATCTTGGCCTTAGGGACTAGAATTTATTGCAAGAACCATAAAATAGGCAAGAATGTGAAACGGTATAAGACTGGTTTTTCTGGTCCAAAAAGAGGAAAGCTGGAGATTGCAGGTAAGTAGGAAATGGGACCAGATGCAACGGATTTTTGAGACGAGCCCAGAACACTTGCCCTCTGACTGATATGTCATGTAGTCATGGTGTACATGGTGTACATGGTATACAGTCATATGTCACACATTCATGGAGTGTGAAAGTCATACAGTGTGGGTTGGAGCCTGCCTGCGGAATGAGGAAGTGTAGGCTGCTTTTTCAAAGCTACCTGACTAAACAAAGAGAGAGTGGGTGATAGATTATAAACAGTGAGAACAATATGGCAAATCTGCAAAACGGACCAAACAAGTTAACACAGCAACAGAACATGCAAAAGCCTACATTAGGAACTCACCGTAGATCTGATTCTCCTCTGACATATATCTCTAAAACAGGTAACCCTAGATCCCAAATTTTGAGAATATGGGCTTTTATCATTAATGTTGTATCAAGTTTAACACTCCTCTGTTGCAATATTTTTAGATGTGATTTTATTAATGTCTACAAATACCCCTTAAGTGTATCCTTAAAAATAGTGGAAAAATAAAATAATAATTAAGAAATTCATCAACTTTAAAATGTATATTCAGAAACACTTTCCAAAGACTCAGTACATTCCAAAATGCTAAGATCTAGCCATGTTCCGTATTATTTTCTGAGAATGCACTAAATATAATGCAATTTATATAAATCATACTTTAAAATGTTGATGACTTCCTTAACTATCAAACTGATTAAAATGTTGTTTGTAAAATCTCATGCCTCAAGTTGAGGAGGTTACATTGTCATGTCTAAGCATTATTTACTATAGTCTGAAATCCTATAAAAGAGCAATGTTTCTAAAGTATACGGGATATCATATTAATAACGGTGACTATCAAAGAAACTGACACCCCTCAAACATGATCAAGATACAGGATTTAGGTTATATCCATAACCTTAGGTTTCACGAGATGGCTTTCTTTGGGTACACTTTAGGGTTGCCATGGGTCGGAATCCACTCAACAGCAACAGGTTTGGTGTTTTTTTTTTTGGTTTAGATGTTTAGCCTACTTAAAACAAACTTAAAGAAAAATGCACTGACTTCCTCTGTGTCCTCTAATGCAGAAGCTGAATAATTAGCTCAATGACTCCTATTAAAATATTATTGCACAGAAAATTTTAATTCTATGTCCTTCTTTGTTTACTGTTTCCAGATATTATCACCAAAGTTTCCAGATCTTATTACCATTTAGAAACTTTTGGCGACATACCAACTGGTTAAAGGTTAGTAATATAACCAAAGATCACATAGATATTTGTTCTAATGTATGCAGGAATCCAGTGCTTGATTCCTACTAGGATATTCCTTTGGGATGTAGGAAATGTCCACAATATAAATATAACAAGCACAATAACCTCTACAATAAAATCATTTCAAATGTCTCTTTAAATAGGCCTGAGAGCTGGAGAGGACTTGATAATTAACTCCTATATAAAGTAATATAAAGTAAAGATAATTCACTATTGGGTAGATGAATGTCCTTGAACCTTGCTGTCCCTATTATATGAGCCTAGTTTGTAGGTCATATTCCCATTGACAAACATTACCTATGAGAAGAGAGTATAGGCCACTAGCACCACAACCTGTCTACCACAGCACCCAGCTATCTAGCTCATTATAGAAACTCAGTTCATATTTGTTCTACAAAATAATAATTTTTTAAAATTGTGATTTAGGTGAAAGTTTACAGAGCAAGTTAGTTTTTCATTCAAAAATTTATATACCAATTGTTTCATGGCATTGGCTGCAGTCCACATTGTGTCAGCACTCTCCCTCTTTCCCTTTCCACCCAAGGTTCAGCAGGTCCACTCGTCCAGTCTTCCTCTCCCCTCCCACCTTCTCATCTTTGTTTCTGAGCAGGTGTTGCCCGTTTGGTCTCGTATACTTGACTGATCTAAGAAGCACGTTCCTCATGTGTGTTACTGTTTGTCTTACAGGCCTGCCTAATCTTTGGCTGAAGAGTGAACTTCAGGAGTGGCTTCAAGTCTAAATTAAAAGGGTGTCCAGGGGCCGTAATCTCAGGGGTTCCTCCAGTCTCTGTCAGACCATTAAGTCTGGTCTTTCACAAAATAATAATTTAATGAACAATATTACTTTCAGCACATTCTCAGTCAGACAAAATGGTAGCCATCATCAATTCTGGGGCGTACAGGTTCTGAACCCATAGCAAATCACTCTGCTACAGAAACATTCCATCTTATATACTACCAAGTTAGCTTGGTGTACTGAAAGGGTATGAACTAGGAATAAAAACAACCCAGGTCCTATCCTGGGTCACCACTCAGCTTGTATGAATGCAAGAGATTTGCTCCAACTTTCTAAAGCTTTGTTTTGCCATGAGAAACTGAGATAACTGCTATTTCCAAGATGTGACTGTGTGTCAGATGAGACTGAATCATACACAACCAGCTAAGGCTGGAAGTGACATCAGAAATCAGTTAAGATGTAAAAAATAATTGAGGAAGCTAAGGCTCAGAGAGATTAATGATTTGCCCAAGATTAAAGACAGATAGTTGGAAAGCTGAATTGGAAGCTATTCATGATAATTAACTGGATTACTGAATTTATGAAGCAATTGCATTATATTATATGCATGCAAGTATATCACTGCCATTGCAGTGATGAATAATATTGTCAGTGAGAAATGCCCGTTTTGTTTAGGGGCTCTAAAAACCAGTTGCCACCAAGTTAACCCCAATTCACTAGAAATCACTTAATCCAATATTTGCCTTTTACAGTAAAGTTGGAAGAGAACTGATGCTTCCTTTTTCTCTTTTATCTATTATAAAAAGCCATGAAGTTTACGTGGTTGAGAGGAAAGTTGAGATAGACAATTATTTCACATAGGCTTTGAGAGACTCTGAATGTTGTAACTCTTTTGGAACTGTGTGGCTTCATAATACCTGTGGGCATCTATTTGCATAAATCGTATTTTTTTAATTGCAGGGGAATGGAGGGATAGAATAGTATCTGTTTTCTGCCGAAAGCTGAGAATCAAGTCTTAAGCCTGGCTGGGGAATGGGTTAGCATTTGAAGTTTAAAAGGATATACCCATGAAATTTATTGTGAGATTCAGGGCAAAAGTACTGCCATTTTGGATGCAGACGCCTAAGTGTGTGTGACACAGAGAACTGTACTTTGGACATTAATATTATTTTAATTTCAACTTTGCACACATTCTAGTGTGATCCAAGACAGTCGGATTATACATTAGCAGTAATAAAACTAAAGGTACACCCTAGCTTAGAGCAACTATAGAAGTTTACAGCTTGAGGTCATTTTCTAAACCACTTAGAACCTTAACATATTTAATCTCAGAGTTGCTGCCAGGTTAACATTTCTGCAACAGAACTTTGACTGTGTAGCTCCATATGAGATATACTTTGGCTTCTGCCTCCTGCTCTCAAACTTCCTTTCCAGGTTTACCCCCAAAATACCACCCAAAGAAAGGCAGTAAAACAAAACCCTTAGGTGGGAGTCAGACATACATAAATTCTAATCCTGGCTTCACTATTTACTGGCTGCGCAAGCTTGAGCAAGTTTAAGAGTCAATCCAAGCCTCATTCTAACTACAGTAATACAGCTCAAGTAATACAATGTTGGCCCAGAAATGTGAGGCATGATGTTTAGAATGCTGATGTGTAGGGTGAGAGGAGAATGATGGTATCATCGTCATCACTATGTACCTGTTCTTTCCTGCCTTCTTTGTCTTCGCACATGGTCTTTCAGTGGCAGAAATGTCTTTTATTTCTACTTTTTACAGTCTTACTAATTTTCAAAGATACAACTTAAATCCTACCCACTAAGGTCTAGTACAAGGCCTTGCAATAATACTTATTTGTCAGGGTAATAATGATTAGTAAGTACAGCTGACATTAGAAGAGCCTCTTTTTCTGGAAGAAAATGTAATTTGGACATAACATACATTTCCCATCCCATTAAAAGACACTTGGTGTTTTTACTGGCACCCTTATCTATAATATATATAAATATATGTGTGTACCTATGAAGTCTCTGGGAGGTGCAAATAGTTAACGCGGCTGGCTGCTAACTGGAAGGTTGGAGGTTCGAGTCCACCCAGAGGTGTCTTGGAAGAAAGTCCTGGAGATCTACTTCTGAAAAATCAGCCATTGAAAAGCCTGCAGAGCACAGTTCTACTCTGACACACATGGGATTGTCGTGAGTTGGACGTCAACTTGATGGCAACTGGTTATCACGTGTGTGTGTGTGTGTACGTGTGTATGAATTAAAATATCCTCCCAAAACTCCTCAGGGAGCCTATTCAGAACCTACCCTAGGTCCATTTTAAATTCTAGAACCTATAAATCTTAAAATAAAAGAGTCTTTCAAAACCTTTGACTGCTGGGGGAATCAATTTCCCCCTCAAACTTTGTTTCCAACACACAATACAATACACATATAATTAGAGGAAGCTCTGTTCAGAGAGAAGGGGAAATGCATTTAAGATCCTTCAATTTCTGTTCTATGGTAGGAAGAATTAAATCACTACTCTTTTCTAAATCTAACAAAACAAAAACTTTGAAGTTCAACTTGATGTGTCATTTAAATACTTGCCAGTTATTCATGTGATATAACTGCATCTCTCATACACACTGATCTCCTCCAAGTGAGTAGAAAAAAAAATGATTGTCTTCAATGACATCTGATTTTATCTGAAAATTTATTTTTCTTCAGAAGTCTAAATGTGTATATAAACTTACTGTTCCAAGGTCAATGATGAAGCAATCACCCTTATTGAAACTGTCCCAGCTCAGGGGTACTTCCGTGGCCCTGACCACTCTCCGACCCTTCACATGTAGGAGCCTCTCAGCTGTCAGGTTGTTTGTGAGAACATGATTTAGTCCAGATGCCACACCTCCAGCCTGATCAGTAGGAGGAAGAAACAAAACACAACAAAGAGAAAATTAATGACGCTTCTAACTTGACACAGCAGCTTATAAATCCACAGCTATCAGTGCAAAAACTATGCTTAGCAGGCCAAGACAAAATAGCCACCTGAGTGCATGAGAAAAGTTAAATACGATAGAGAGAAAATTCCTCGCTAAATTATCAACAGGTTGTTTTACGCGGGGTTTTTGACCTTCCTATTTTAACAATTCAACTTAAAACTGTAAATATCTATTCAGAATCTTCAGTGTATAAAACGCTGCTGCATAAACAAAAAGACGTCATAGCTCTTGCCCTTTGGGAATTAATGATTTAGTGAGCAAACAGAGGAAGAGTTCAGGGAAGAAAGTGATAGGAGGCTACAGGAGAGTCAGAGGTCACAAATACAGCTGAGGAGCAGCCAGAGAGCAAGGCAGCCCAAAAGTTCCCACTGTCACAGTGTTAGGACAGAAGAGGGGAGTTGAGTGCTGGCCAGGTATGGGCTGTTCCTATTTATGGAGTTTGTTTTTACATTAAAAGAATCAACGGTCTCCTTTATTTCCTGGTGCACTGAGTTCACTACCTATGCTAGGCCTGAGTATTTATACCCTAAATCAGGAGAGCTGTAGTATCTTGGTAGCATATCACCAACCAAAATAAAACAAGACAAAACAAAATAAAATAAACCACATCAAATGAAAGATATGCTGAAGAAAAAATATTCAATATATCAGCTACCTCTTCTTGCATTATTTGCACTCATCTTACACTTTTTCACTTTTTTTTTAAATGTTAGGAACCGTGATCTTTATTTCCACAATTAATTATGAAGGAATGTGCATAATTAAGATGCAGGGTAAGCAAAACTCTCCGTCACTTATAAATCAAAGGCCTCTGATGATAATATAGCAAGAAAATTAGCTATATAAGAAACCTACCAAATAATCTCACTTTGACATTTATTATATAAACATCAGAGTAAATCCAAAATCAGAAGTTAAGCTGTATGTGTAATCATTCCCACATTTCTTTAAGTTTCCATTGACTTTAAATTTCCACCTTTCTTCAGGAAAAGGCTCTCATAAATAAAAAGATATTGTTGGTATAAAGTTAAATGCTGATTTCAGGACGACATTAAATTTTAAGAAATATATAATGGATGCCCAGTCCATAATTTTACAAAGATTGCTACATTTCTTGGTTGAAAAAAAAATAAGTATTATCCAGTAAAAGAAATATGGTTTCATCCATTTACTACTGTTCTTGGCCATTTCAAAAAGATTAAAAAGTGTAAGTACAATATGATCAGATAAAAAATACAATAAAAACACTCTGACCTGAAAATAAACTGTAAAATATAAAGCAGACTTAGACTGAGGATACATATATAACATTCTGACTAATTTCATACTCTGAACCATAAAAGTAATGTATCCATTATTGTGGAATAGATTCCAACTCATAGCAACCCTACTGGACAGAGTAGAACTGCCCCATAAGCTTTCCAAGGTTGTAATCTTTATGGAAGCAGACTGCCACATCTTTCTCCTGCAGAGCGGCCGGTGGTTTTGAACCGCCAACCTTTTGGTTAGCAGTCGAGCACTTAACCACTTTGCCATCAGTGCTCCTTCAGAGTAATATACAGTCTCTGAAAGTTTAACAGTATTTTAAAAATTAATTTTGTCTCTAATATTTGATGCCACAAATGCACAAAAGAAAAACTATACGTTGCATTGTAAGTCTGTATTAGACGAAAAGTAGTTACTTGGTGAATACTATTTGAATTAACCCTAGAAACTCTTAGCCTTTTTCTACTTTCACAAGGCAGAATATAAGCAAGGGAGTGGGCGGGGGGCGGGGAGCAGGGAGGAAGTGATCCTCTAAATAGCAGCACCATAAATACAGGCTTGAAGACATATGTCTGATGGTTACTATCTACCATGGTCACCATCTACAATCATGGCTGAGGGTAGGTCTTATTTAAGCTTGGAAACGGTATGATTAGCCAGAGATTTAATTTAAGGGAACAGAGGAAAGTAATAGTCCTCTATAGTCTCTACTCTTTACAACCCCCCTCCAAAAAAAAAAAAAACAACTCAGAGGGAAATGACACAAGTCAATCAAATGAGATAATATTTCCTAGCTCAAGTTTAACACTACATAAGGCAACTACATCGGGTTTTCGCTGACTTGATCATAATAGACTTTGTCAAGTTCTGCACATTGCAGACAGACACAATATCCCGTTGCTTATGGTAATTTAAATTAAAATTTTGTTCCAGCATTGGAACCATTTATTTATGGTGAGTGCATCATAATACAATGATTACAAACTCAGGCACTGGAATCAGATGGCCACCCACGCCATGAGATCTTGGCAAATTACATAGCCTCTCAAAGTCTCAGTTTACTTATCTATTACATAGTGGTAATGACAGAAACTGCATCACAGGGTTGTTATTTGGACTAAATAATATATATGAAGTGTTTAGCACATTCCTATAAACTTGAAACTAATGATGGGATGAAATTAAGTATAACATAGTAGTCTTTGCTATTTTGGGTGGTAAATTATCTCTGCCTCCACATTTCCCATTGTTGCAACCACACACATTATCATATGCTCAGTGCCTCAGATGATAAGACAGTGAACTGATTTTTTTGCTGATAAATTTGACCTCCATTTGCAAGTATCCTCTTTCTAAAAATGCTGATTTATAGTGGTTTTAATGTTGACAATTGATAATTAGGAGATAATTATCCAATAACTGCAAAGCTACTTTAATCATCTCCACTTTCAAATACATATGCAGAAGTTTGATTTCAGAAATCCTGCTCGTAGGATTAATAAGTCCCTATTGACTGGGGACGTAAACATGTACTGGGTCGGAATTTTTATTATTTAATTTAATCTTTAATTTCTTACAACACCAGTATATGGCAGATGTTATTATTCCTGTTGTACATTTGAGGAAATTGCGCACAGGAAGCTTAAGTACTTGCCCAAAGTTCAGCAAGTGATATGCGGCAGAAATGGGTTTACAACTAAGACGATGCTAAAGCACATGCTTTTAGTAACAAGACCCAGCTTACTTAAAACGTTGAGTTCACTGAAATAAGGGAAGTTTCAGGGTCATAAGATGTGGGAACTAACATGATTTAAATAAAATGAGAGCTAATAGTTTCATATTTAGAGAGGTTCATAGAATGAAAAATTAATTTCAAAAGAGAAAAAAGAATGCGTTTGTATTTTGTCCTGATCTCAATGGTATCACAAAATATTCAAGCGAGGCACTGAACATTTAGGTATACTAGGTATATTTAGTACATATTCAAAATTCTAGTAATTTTAAATTAAAAATTTGTTCCAGCATTGGAACCAATGCTCTGAGGTTTTAGGTCTTCAGTAGGGTGATATGCTCGAGGAGTGGGGTGGTGGAGTGTGCAGAACACCTGTTGGAGAATGTTTTTGTACGGGCTTGTTTCTGAAATGTTTGTCTAAAGTGGGTGTTCCTCACATTTTAACAGAACACCTATGGTAGGGAGAGGAGAAGTAAAGGATTATTAGTCTGCAAAAGTCACTGAGAGAATTCCAGAGAAAAATATCCTTTACTGAAGGTTGCCTTAAAGGGATAGAATATTTACTTTTACTTGTTTGTTTCTTTGTTTGCTTTCAGAAGCAAAGCCAACTGATTACTGATGTTTCAGGCCTGTACACATAAATTGTGTGTATGCTTTGAATTTACATTTGTGTCTGTGTGGCTAAACCATACGTATGTTCAGCTCAGTGGTTTCACTTGTATCATTTCTAAAACCAAGCCACACTATTTGGGAAATATGTGTATAGTTCTTTGCATTAACTGAAGTTATAATTGTTATAAATATTGTATTAAGATAGTCCACAACAATTGAGATTCCTAAGTATTGGGTTATTTGCTGCAAATTCAGAGATTCTCTAGAATAGTATAGTAAAAAACAAAAAGAAAGAAAACTACTCTTGTTAACAATATTTAATTATTGAAATAAACTTAGGGAATGTTAAAGGGGCTTTCTTGCGAAGACATAAATAGAGCTCTTAATTTTAACTGTTAACAATTAACCTAATAAAACTGAATCAAGTGACAACCTACTGTGTGTCAGGCCCTATTCCAGGTACTTAGGGATACATCACTGAAAAAAACAGATTAAAGCCAAACAAAAAGCCCCACACTCAACAAACTTTCAGTGTATGAAGACGTGAGTTGTGAATGGACAGGGGGAGAAAAAAGGGAATCCTGTTTGAGAGCCCTGTTTACCTTGTATTTCAAACCTTCTTTGAAATAGCTGACAAAGTCAGTGGACTCATGGCCTTGCAGTTCTCTACTCTGCACTGGCTTGCCACCCAAATAGTCGTCCATCTGAACAGTGAAGATGGCAGCTGCTGTGCTTTCATCCTGGGTACACTCCTTTCCTGCAACAGCAAATGAAGGCGCTTCATTTATCAAGCAAGAAAAATGTTTAAGGCAGAATTTTTAATATCAAAGAAATCAGAACGTTTCTTTGAATTGCGTATCAGTACAACAAACTTCTACAGAAAGATCTTTTAGCTGAAACAGTGTAATACCAACAGTATAAAACATAATTTTGCCAATAACTAAATGAATTGTTTTTGTTCCTGCTTTTTATAATTCCTTTAAACTTTTTTTTTTTTTTAAAAGACCACTGTCTAGATATGCTAGGAGTGATAATGCAGCAATATATTCCAGTAGGATTCAGATAAGCATTCATTTGGTGCGGTCAGTAAGATCAGGCTATAAAAACATTTTGCATTTGTTTTAGCCTTTACTAGTATTAATCTTTAGGCTTCCAATAAGCCAGTATGTCAATATTTGGGCTTCAACAGGTGAATGGTTAAACAAATCGTAGTACCTACATACTGAGAGAGAGAACCCCAAAATTATATGAGGCGTTTGGTATAAGTAGAGGACCCTGGCACAGGCCTGAGAACAAACTTAATTTTAAAATAGCAGTCTTCCTCTCCTATGCTTAACCTTTAGCCATCCTAAAAATATACCCCAAAGGAAGTATTTTCCTCTCTGGTCAAATAGATGCAGGATATCGAAAGCTTGTTCCTAGAGGTGCTGGCACACAGCATTATCTACAAATCTTTACAAGGACCCCCCAGGAAAAGTCATGCTTGAGAAAGCAGTTTAATAACATGTTCTCAGAAAAGCATGTCCTGTCATTGTCCTGTGATCCCTTGTGTACCCCCTTACTCACATGTACCTCTGCAATTTAAGATAAGTCTCCAATCACTGAAGTCCACCTATATGTTACCCCCCAATCACTGACAAGCCCTGCTTTGAGAAAGCCCATCTCTAACTTCTCTGACTGCCTGAAAACCAACCAGAATATTGTACCCTCATTCTTTATCTGAACTGTATAAAAATATCTGTGGGATTATCATGCCTCGGTCTCCATAGTTTCATTTTCATGGGCCATGCAGTTCCCGGTTCAAACTGATTTTGAATCCTTAGTAAACCTCTCTGTTTTACTCCAAAACAGTGTTCGAGTATTCTCTAACACAATACCATGGACTACTACTCAGTCATGAAGAATCAACTATTAATACATGCAACAACTTGGATGACTCTCCAGGAAATTAAGCTGAGTGAAAAAAGTCAGCGCCAAAAGGTTTCATATATCTAACATTTTTGAAACGACAAAATTTTAGTTAGCATAGGGTGGCGTGGATGTGTTTACAAGAGGGCAGCATGAGGGATCCTTTGGTGATGGGACTGTTGAGTATATTGACTGTGGTGGTATACAAACCTACACAAACAGTTGTTTAGTTGTATAGAACTAAGCGCATACACATGAATTGGTACAATTGAAACTGGGGAAATCTGAATAAGACAGAGGGCTTCTATCAATTTTAATATCCTGGTTGTGATTATTATACTATAGTTTTACAAAATGTTACTATTGGAGGAAACTGGGTACACTGTACAGGAGATGTGTCTGTTATCATTTCTTACACCCGCATTGTTAATATATAATTATCTCCATCAAAATTTCAATAAAAAATAGGTTAGTGACTAGACAAACATAAGAATTTGTTGCATATAAGTTAAAAGTGTTTACACTGATTTTCTTAAAAAATCATTTCAGCTCGACACACTGCTTCCAACTAGCTCAGTCCACCGTCATCCCAGGATTTGTCAGCTGATGGTTCAGCCATGGCCTGGGACCCATCAGACACAGCCCAGGACACCTGATACATTCTCTCCTCTTGCCTACCCCCTGCCTTCCCTCCCAGGGCCTTATTACTTGAATCACTGCATCTAATTGCCTCAGTGGCAGATCTGTGTCCAGTGCCCTCTCCTTGACTTTAGGGTGAAGGTCAAGATCATAGGGACCATGTCCTGGTTAGGCTGAGCTCCCCAGTGGAATATTGATTGAGGAAAGGATCTGCCCCTGGCAATTTCCCCTCCCCAGACTCTCATGGGAGGCCCCCAGAGAGCCAGAGTGCCCAAGCCAAAGTGCCCTTGGGAAACTACCCTCAGGACTTTCGACACTTTCACAGATTGGAGTGTATGAATTCGGTAGACCTAACTCCAGATGGTCAGAATGTTAGTCTGCTTATGTTTATTCACCTGTTTTCTTCCTTGAATCAACGCTACTGATAACAAGTTGTCTTTAATAAGTCATGTGTTCTTTGAAGAAAAAAAAAAAATCAACTCTATACCTAGCAGTTTAAATGCACTCACCTTGTGCTTCTAAGGAGCCCAGGTGGTGCAGTGGTTAAGCACTCGGCTGCTAACCAAAAGGTCAGCTATTAGAATCCACCAGCAACTCCTCGGGAAAAAGATGTGGCAATCTGCTTCTGTAAAGGTTACAGCCTTGGAAACGCTATGGAGTAGTTCTACTCTGTCCTATAGGGTCGCTATGAGTCGGAATCAACTAGACGGCAACAGGGTTTTGTGCTTCTAGTTACCTGTAGCTTCATGTCAATTTGCAGGGCTAGGTGGTAAAACTACTTACTCTCTGTCACATACTGACCCATGCTGCAAACATCTGCCCTCACCCTTTTTCCTTGTCAATTCTAAACTTAGCATAAATATATTTATAGCAATAAATACAATATGGTGTAACTTCTCTGTGTTAGGTCCTGTGTAAGGCAGCGAGAACACAAATGAAACGAATTGTTTCCCTGAAGGAGTTACACTGTTCTAAGGGGGTAGGCACATGAGTAGATACTGATACATGGTAGTACTTTAAATAATCTGAGATATGCAAAGATATCATGGAAACACTGAAGGAGAGACCTGGAAAGACGACTCTTTCTCTATGCGTTCTCATTTTAAATTCCACTTCTTCCTGCTTCCCCTTTCTTCCTCCTACTGTTTCTGCATTTTTATGCTGTGCACCTTTTTCATCTCAGTCTGACTTTAACTTCACCTCTTCTCTTTCCTCTTCCTTCCCACTGTTTCCTTTAATCAAACCTTTTCTCTTCCTGAACTTTCAGCTCGCCTCCTGGAATTTTTAATCTGTCTTTTCCACCCGCAGGCCTTAGAGTAGAATATTTTGGGTAAAATTCAGCTTGCTTCAGGGAAATGAAGTAGGAAGAGCTGCTGAACAATTCTATCTGAAGGGCTTGTTGACTATTTTGCTCGAAGCTTGTCTATGTTCCCCATGATTTTTCTCTTGGTGCAAGTACCATCCAATCCCCATCATTTTCTTCAAAGCCTTCTGTTTCCCATAACCAGACACTTCGTGTGTCTTTCACAGTACTTATCACATTCTACCTGTGTCATATCACTCTTTGTGTTTGTCTTATTACACCTTTGAGGTTATGAATTTTCAGGAAAGGTTCATCAATTATTTATATCTAAAAAATACTCTACACAGTGTTGGGTACATTGAATAGTTCTGAATGAATTGCCATTAACATGCTATTCAGTTTTAGCTGAGCTTTAAGATCATCCAATGTTTCTGCCCAAAGCATTTTCTAGTCCACTTTTTTAAACTGACGAGCACCAAATGAATAATTAAATAAAAGTTGAAGTGAATCTGTGGACTCTACAAAACGCAATGCTTAAGGAACTTATTGGGAGGTACTTACAGAATTTAAAAATTGTGTTCATAGCTGTTTTTCAGTCTTCTGATAAAGTAAAGCTTACTTCTGTCTACAGCATGATATGGAGTTCTTTAATATTTTACTTCATCCAAATGACAAATGTGGTGTTTCAGATACTTCTATTCATTTCAGAGCCAAGTTCTGGATGGAAAGACTGTTTCACCTGGCATCACCCATTCCTGGTCATAGGTTATATATTAAGGTTTAGGTGTTTTCTGGTATAAAATATAGATTACTGTATATTATAACATTATAATAGGAATATTGACATTACAATGGGGAAAAACAAAACGTTTGCAACTCAGATTCAGTCTCTTTAAGTAAGCACAAGTTTTTAATACTGAATGTTATAGTTAAAATAGCCCTTTCTCTATGTATGTCTCATTTGTAGTGCCTGCTCAGAGTGTTTGCTTATGTTGAGGAAAACATCACTTCTCAATATTTTCTACTATCTCCTAACATCTTCCTCAAATGTTAGAAATAAAAAGTGTTGGCTTTCAGAGGCTTAAAACGTGTGTCTGTGTGTTTTCCCATTAAGCTCAGGAATAAAACTAAACTCGACCAACACACGCACAAGTCCAAGGGACGAAAGCTAGTTTTACAAGAAAAGTAAAAGGCTCAGATAACCGTCATTTTGTTGGAGGGGGTGTGCCCACTAGCCCAGGACCTCATAGGCAGAGGCTGAACATTCAGGATGTTTACGGGTAAAAGCAGAAAGTGGAAAAAGTAGAACACACAAGGCCCAGTGTCCTGAGAGCCTGGCGCGAGTGCAGTCCCAAATAATTGCTCCTGCTTCAAGGAGCCGTTTTTTCCACCCTGTGTCGTTGATAAAATAAATTAATAAAAAATAAATTAACAATTATTAATAATAAAGCAGCCCATCTAAACAAATACTTTAATAAACAAATTAGCTATATAGAGCTATTTAGTTATATAGATAATAGTGTATTTTTTCTGCCTCCATCAGAAGTCGCCAGCATTCTCGTCAACAGTCGGATTTATTCGTCAAACCTTCGAGCAGCGTGGCTCAGGCAGAATCCTGATTAAAGCGATCCGGGACACTAATCCTCCCAATTAGCACAGAAATATAAATTGATGCCCAAGGGCAAAAAAAAAAAAAAAAAAAAGGAGCTTCCTGCCAGCTGCGGCAGAAGTCCACGAACTTGTCTGACCTCATCCCCACCCTGAGAAGGAACGAGGAATGAACTTGTTGGAAGGTGAGCGGGTTTGGGCCAGCACCGGCTCTGGGCAAGGAGAAGCGTTTCGAGTCTTAAAGGTGACGGGGGAGAAGCCAGAGGAAGCAGCCCCAACTCCTGGGAACTGGATATGAAAAAGATCAAGGTCAGCAGGTTAATCGGCTCCCGACTTCACCTGCACCCTGCATTTGCAACTCGCGACTTGCTGACTCCCCTTTTGGCCCCCCCCGGTCCCCCAGCTTGCAAATCTTAGACCCTAGCGACCTCGCCTCTCCCGACCTTGGCGCGTCTGTGTCGTGCTGCCCGCTGCCCCTTACCGAGCCAGAAGTGCAGGCGGTAGGTGAAGCCCCGGCTCGCCTTGGTCGTGTGCAGCACCAGGTAGGCATCCCCGACGTAGAAGCTGCCGTAGGCGCTCTTGGGCACCGGCACCAGCTCCAGCTTCTCGATCCTCCAGACCTGGAGCCCTGCCTCCTTGCCCGCCCGGGCGAACTCCGCATGGTAAAGCTCCTGGGCCATGGCTCTGGCACGCGATGCTCCCAGGCAAGCGGACTCAGGGCGCGGGACTCGCCGACCGTAGGTACAGGCTAAACCGAGACCGGCAGGAGGGACCCTGTTCACTGCGGCTTTATAGTGTTCTCCCTACAGGGAGGCGTGGCCCCGAAACAGGAGGGGCCGAGGGCCCTGGTGGGTGTTGCTTCCAAATTCACACTCCCTTCTCCCGTGGGAGGTGGGGGATTCGTCGTCACAAACATCTTTTTGAGATCAAGAGGGGACTTATGGAACCTCCTGGAAATGCCTGTTCTAAGGAAGAACATTTTCCCTACCAACAGTTGGAAATAAACGATTAAAACTCTGCTTGGCGCCCCCAGTGCACACCCACCGCCTCCTTACTGCAGTTATTCCCTTTCTCCCGCTTATCGTGTTATTTCTGGGTCTCAGACGGGCCTGGGAGGCGCGAGGTGAGGACCGGGTGCACTAGCTCTAGAGGCTGAGTCAGCGTTTTCCTAGGAGGAGCTATAGCTGCTCTTCCTGGCCTCTTGGGATGTCTTCCTTCGAACAGGGCGTCCTCTGCAGACAGCAGCCCCTGCCGTTAGGGAACCGAGTGAGTGTGACACAGTGGTGTCCCAGCAGAATATTAATACATCATTTTAAGAAAATTGACTACCCAGATTACATCCTCATCATCAACTCCATCGTTTTATTAAGCATGCTTTCTCCATTACTAGTGGCCGAAGTTTCCGTTTGGAGCTTCCTAGTCTGAAAATGCCACGAAAAACAGCACATCAGGTTTCTTGAAGAGAGTTAATACCTGGAAGGCTGGCGGTCCTACCTAGGGAACTGAGTTCTTTAAATCCCCAGGAGCTCAGGATCTGTGGTCACCTTCTCTTGCCACCTGCTTCCTTTGGCCAAGAAATTACTGGAAAAACAGCAGCCACCCCCACCCCCCAGGCGTGTTCTCAGGCAAGGGTGTTGGTGGCAGTAATTTTATGCTTAGACTGCCTTTTGAGTTACCTGTTACCTGACTTCAAGGCGCTAATGTGCTCGTTGTTTTCCTTACAGTTTTTTGCTTTTCCACCATGGGCAAAGCATTGTAGAATAGAGATGGAAATTTACTCTTTATTTTGCATTCATTTAACCTAGGCCGGTATGGCAGAGACATTTTATTCTGTTACAAAAAAGCTAATTGCTTAGGATGCAAAGGATGAAAAAGCTGACTTCTATGCACGCAAATTTGTTTCACTGTGTTTCCCAAATTACATGAGTCCTTGGAAGTTCAGTAATTATGCCCAGTTAGATTTATTCCTTAAAGAATTTATATTTTTAGATAGGTATCACATTACCTTGGTAAACAATTCACAAGTACAAAAAATGTGCAATAAAAAGTTGTGATTTCATCCTGCCTTCCTGCCACCCATTTGCTCTCCCTAAAAGCAACTAAGTTATCAGTTTCTTGTGTATTTTTGCAGAGAGATAGTCTTTCATTTACAAGAATATGTTTTGTTTTGTTTTGTTTTTTAAACAAAAAAAACCCAGGAATGGTAACACACACAGTATTTTGTATCAGTATTTTATATATATATTTTGAGATCAGGAGGGACCTTATAGAACATCCTTGAAATGCCTCCTCCAAAGGAGGAACATTTCCCAGACAACAGATTGGGGAATATGTATATGTATATATATATATACATATATATATATATATACAGATAAAGCTGCCTCTTCTGACCACATGGTTTTCTATCTTATAAATGTACTATAATTTATTTCCAAATCGATTGGCCTTTACATTTTTTCTGTATTTTGCTAATACAACATTGCAAAGAGCATTTGTAAACATACTTCATTGTGTACATGCATTATTATGACTATGAGATAAAATCCTAAAAATGTAATTGCTAGATCAAGGAGTTGGAATTAAATACTTTTGATAAGGGCGATGATAATTACAAAACCAATCACTACCATTTATTGAACTTCTGCAATGATGGGCTGTGGCCCAGACTGCCTGCATTCAATTCTTGCCTCAATCCTTAGTTCACGGAGATTTTGGGCGATTGATTTAAACATAGGAAGTCTCAAGTTAGTTGTTTATAAAATGGAAAAATAATAGTATTCACCTAATAAGAGTGTTATTTGGATTAAATGAGAGGTTGCAAGTAAAGCATTTGTGACTGTTACATAGAAAATACTCAATAATTATTAGCTGTCATTATGTGATAGAGCACTTTCTTTTGTCCCTTCAGATCCTGTCTACCTTTTTCCACCCCGTTGTCTTCTCCAGGCAGTCGACTTGCACCTGGGCTCCCATTCCCTCTAGCTTAGGGTTGGATTGGAGACCAAAGAGAAGGAGGAGAGTGAGGTCAGAGTATTTATTTCCTTGGCTGCCTCCAAGTCACTCTTCCTTTCAAGGCAGATAATTCTATGTGACTTTCAGTCCTTTGGGGTTCCAGTAACTGTCCTCTCAGATGCACTATCCATTGTGGCTCCTCTACATCCCTACTTCTGTATATAGCATCTTTGTAAAAAAAAAAAAAATTTTTTTTTTTAGAATTTCCCTATATTTCATGTGCTATCGGTTATGAGTTATCAGCTGACATCCTGATAAGTGTTATTAGCTACATCCTCATTTTTACTCCCAACCAAAACAGTGAAAAATCTGTACGATAAGCCTCATTTTACAGATGAAGAAACTGAGGCTTCAGAATTTGCCAAAGGGGAAGTGAGTGGCCAAAGCGCAATTCAAGCCCACTGTGTCTAATTCAAAAGCACATATTCTTTACAAAAACTTATTCTTGTAATCCAAATTATTTTGCCAAGATTTGTTCACATAAGTATACTTTATATTTTCATGTTCTTTTAACTTGTACCTAGAGAGGCTTCTGATCTAGTGTGCCCCATGCATCACCAAGAAGTTAATTCTAACTTTGCCTCTGAGCCATTAAATACTTTGACTTCCTCGTTTGTAAAGTGGAAATCGTTTGTTCTTTTCTTCCCTCTAGAGAAAAACATATGGTGCTTTAGCCTAAGAGAGTTAAAAAATTGCAGTTATCACTTAAATTCAGTTTCAGTTTTAGTGATAATTCCATTCCTGAAGAAATAAAATGGACATCAGTATGCTGTTGTTGTTAGGTGCTGTCAAGTTGGTTCCAACTCATAGAGACCCTATTGTGTACTCCAGAATGAAACACTGCCGGGTCCTGCGCCTTGAGCCCATTGTTGCAGCCACTGTGTCAATCCATCTCATTGAGGGTCTTCCTCTTCTTCGCTCACTCTCTGCTTTACCAAGCATGCTGTCCTTCTCCAGGAACTGGTCCCTCCTGATAACATTCCAAAGTATGTGAGACATCAGTATAGATGAAAGTAAAAAATTCCCTCTACCTTTGGTCCAGACTAGGATGATGGAGTGAGGCACATGCCTGGGACACAAAAAACTCAGTAGTAAAGATGAATGATACGTAAATGCAATATTTTAAAATAATCAAAATCAATGCAAAAAATCATGATGAACAAAATATTAAAGTTTTGAATAAAGATGGGATTGTTAATAGCGCAATGTGAGGCCATTTTGGAACCTGAGGCAAAGGAAAAATACTGATCTTGTTTTTACTTAAAATTTGATCATTTCATCATGGATTTTTTGTACTAATTTTGATTTTTTTTTTTTAATTTAAAATGTTACTTATTTTGATCACTGAGTTGTTTTTTTTTTTTTTAATCCCCTTCAATTTTGTGCCTGAAATGAGCGTCTCACTTGCCTAACTCTAGTCCCTGTCGTGGCTTAGGCTCACATTTTCAACTTCCTGCTAGACACAACTACATAATTAATCCTAAAATTGGTCAAATTCGGCATGCTCAAAACAATCCGAACATTTCCTCTAAACATACTTCTCCTATTCTTCCTAATTTCATTAACACCATGATTTAATTTTGACTTGGCACTCTCACTTTATCTCCACATTTAAACAAGTCTGTCCAACATGTTTCTCAAACAGCCCACTTTCTAGTCACTGAAGCACTTTCTTTACGTTCATCTTCAGAAGAGGCTTCAGCCCATGTTAAAACCTGGCTCCTCCACTTTTCAGCTGGTTGACTTGGGTGAGTTGCCTAACATAGTGTCTCAGTTTCTCATCTGTGGAATGGGGATACTGATAGAAATTACTTCACAGGGTACTGTCTTAGGCTGGGTTCTCTAGAGAAACAAAACTAGTAAAGCATATAAATATATATATAGAGAGAGATTTATATCAAGGAAATGGTTCACTCGGTTGAACGTCCCAAGTCCGTGGGTCAGGATAGAGGCTTCTCCTGATTCACGTAGCTGCAGGGGCTGGTGAAACCAAGAGCAGCAGGTCAGACAGCAGGGCTGTTGCTTACAGGCTGCAAAGATCAATGAATCCCAAGATCAGCAGGCAAGACCGCAGGTAAGCTGCTAGCTCAAGTCCCAAGACCCAGAGGTGAGACAAATCGGAGCCAGCTGCAGGGTCCAGGGCAAGCAGCAAGCCTCCTAGCCTTGCCAGAATGTCTGCTTCTATTCAGTGCAGGCCACATGCCCAAGAAAACTTCCTTTCAACTGATTGCCTACTCACAGCAGATCCCATTATGGGGGTGATCACATATCAGATCTCAACAAGGAAGTGATCATAACATTATACGACTGCCAAAACACTGAGAATCATAGCCCAGTCAAGTTGACGCACGATCTTAACCATCATAGATTCTTATGAGGGTTAATGGATTAATATATACAAGCCTGGAATGGTGCCTGGCATATGGTAAATGCCAGTAATCTCAAATGAGATTGTTGAATGATTAATTCACTTCTCCACACCTAATCCTGCAAGAATGTTTCCAGAATCTAGTTCAGGTAAAGAATACCCATTCCCTACACACACACACAGAAGTCTCTAAAACAGCTACCAATTTCTTTTCCATGCCTTGTCTCTTTCTCTCTGTCTCACACTGTAGGTTTCTAAAAGTAGATCATTTTCTCCCCTTCACATTACAGCCTTTCTTCCATCTTAGTCTGTTGAAGCTTTTCCAGTTCTT